ATGTAGTTAATGTTTTATTTTACATTAATTGAGAGCACCGAGGAATGTAGTTAATGTTTTATTTTACATTAATTGAGAGCATCCAAGAATGAAGCTAATTAACTCATTGATCTGTTTGGTACTGAGAGTTGTGGAGAATGAGTAAAATATTTTGAGTGTTCTTACAAGAAAATTTAGTAGTCAATTTGTTTCAATGCCACTACTTTACGACAGATGAAGGAAAAAACTTCATTTGTGTATGATAAAAAAATACGAATATATCAATCAACCGATTATACTTTTTGCTAAGTTAACTGCTAGATGGGTAAATAATTTATCATTTAGAACTCAGTTTGTAAGATAAGAAAAAAGTTGAGATAACTTCGATCTATGTAATCTGTATATTGTTACACAAAGTCATAAGGGACCCATGACTGACATAAGAGAAAATTGGGAGTATGGTTACCCAACTATTTCTCTGAACAAATAGTTCCTACTAACAATAAAAGTACAAGTGCGTTTTATTTCTGAGTCTTTTTATTTTGTACGTGCAAAATTAGATGTCATATCGTAATGGTTCATAAACTGTTACCTAATAATGTATGTTTCTTAGCTTTGGCACTGTACTCTATGGGAATTAGTGTATCATATCTGACTTATAAAAATAGCGATTTAACTAAAGGTTTGAGACGAGATATATTACTGGCGAAGTTTCGTTCACAGAGACCTACAACAAACTAAATATAATTGAAACGTCACAGTATTTGTTAAAGAAGAGAGTGCTTTGAAATACTATATTTCTTTCTGTATAATAATATTGTTCCATTGCATTGGAATCCTTCTTGCTCTTAAATTAATTGGTTTTATTGTCTTGAATTATTTACATGTTCTACAGTAATTCCTATACGCTGATTCCGAAAATGATATCCATTTTTCTCCATCACGTACAGATTTTTCACAAAATGTCATAACGCAATACATAAAAGAAAGATCACAAAACGTAGTTTTAAGACTAAAAGACGTAAATTTCACACAAAAAATCAGGATGAATGAGGAAGCATATTCGTTTTCTTCAGTTTGTAGTTTTATTAACAAACATAATAATAAAAAATGTTCATTGTGGTAAACGAAATAATAATTTGATATAAGTAAGAATTTTTCCTTTTTGTAAAAAATCATTAGGTGATAGATAAAAAATGAATACTATTTTCGAAATCTGCCGTAGCTGAATTATGGCAAATCCGTTATTAAAACCAAAACAAATTTTATCAAGTTTAAATTCGCAGGTCTATGTAATCAAAGTAGTGAAAGTTCTAGAATTTTAAGGGTGTATATAGCCAGCATTTCAATAGTTAGTTGTATATATAAACCTGGTGGACAAACTATCGTATATTCCTACAGCAGAACTAGCTTTTATGGTTTCAGTTTGTGAACAATTGCTTTTCAAACACGTTACATGTGTGTTTATATGGTTTATATTGCAAACACTGAATTCATCCAGGAGATACCTGCTCATTCTGAATCTCAATGATATTCGCTAGCTTGTCAGCAAAACTCAGAAAACTATTAAAGAGTTAATAAGAGTTTTCGTGTTACGTTTTCTTTTGTCACCGTTGTTGGATTTTGTAACTCTTAAAACAGTCTTTTCTTCTTAAAATAGTCTTAATAGTGTACAAACCAAGAGTGTTGTTGTTTTAGTTCCTCCATATACAAACACCCTCAGAAATTGGAATTAGATTATGAAGTTGTTTTATTATAATATTCAAAATATCAATTAATTACAATGAGTCAATTCAATTATTTATCATTAAGACGAAAGAAGAGTGCTTTATAAACTCACAAAAAAACAAAAACAAACTGTAAACATAACATTATAATTGTAAAACAATCTTAGATTACCAAATTTTTGAAACATTTAAATTAACCAGAAGGAGAAATAACGTCAACATTTCTGGATAAATCTGTATATATGTTTGATGACTCACAAGAACACAAAGGAAAAAACGTACGAGAAAATCACATTTGAAATAGATCAATCTTGGACATTTTCTCTTAACTAACACATATAACAAACTTCTTCAAGGTTCTCCATAGTTCCTTAAGAGAAGTAAAACCAATGATCCGACTAAACGCTTCTAGAATCTTATCTTTGGATGGTTGCACTCTGAATTATGACTACAAAACACAGTATAGACAAGAGAAGGAAAAAGGTGAATAGATCGAAAAAAGATTTCTCTAGAACAAGAGGAAGAACTATTTTATCACAGCTAACACTAAAAGATGTGTGGAATACATTTCTTATAAAGCTACGATTATGGGACATCAGAATGATTAAGAATTTCGAATCTCATAACGTTATGATTTGTGAGAATTATTTAGTTTCGAGAGATTTCTATATTTTCCTAAGTTTTAGCTGCAGCAATGAGATCAGAAAGTTCTCAGATTTTAAGCCACAACGTTAACATCATAAACTGGGGTTTCTTTTTGTTTGTTAATAGAAAAGTAATGGTCAAAGAATAACTACCTTTTCATACAGTAAAAGTATTAATACAGTGACTGTGATGTTTTTATCTTGTCAGTTTGATACTTTGATAATATAATTTTATTGATAATAATAAAAATCAAAGTTAGTATATTCTTACACTTCGTTAATTCAAAATTACTTCGAAAATAATGAAACTCATATTATTTATTAAGTCCCTCAGTGGGACAACGGTAATTTTACAAATTTAGAACGCTAAAATCCGGGGTTCGATTCTCTGCTGTGGACACAATAGATAGTACAGTGTGGACGTGCTGGAACACAAATCTTAAAGTTTAATATTTATATTTTGGTTAACTGTTTTTCACATAAAACCCACATTAAAGTTAATAATGTTTTTGGTTTCTTTGTATTTTTGTTAAACTATATATCGAAAAATGTATAGCGAAAAATAAGTGAGTGACTATGTAATTACAGAATAGATTGTAAAGTATATCTAAGTGAGCTCGTTTGGTTTTCACTTACTTCTCCAGTAGTCGTAAGAATCAACATTCTCCTCATACACTCTTAGGCTGTGAAGACCAAAGTCTGTGATTTTCAGTACAAACCTGCTGTCAACCACACAATTGGACGACTTTAGGTTTCCATGGCAACGAACCTCGCTGCCATGGAGATAAGCCATACCCTGAGTAAAAAAAAAAACGTATGTGGTGAATTAAGTGTTGCTCCTGACGTGAAATTGATTAAATTGTTCTTAATTGTCATACACATCAAGTTGAAACTAACACAGTGTTCCAAGTTTTCTATAGATTCAACAGATCGTTCATTATAATTTTTAAAACGTTAAAGACTCTGCTTAGAAAGTAATTCTACAAATACACACATGATAAATTAGATATTATTACGGACGTTTTCTTAATTGATTTTACCATGTCTTTCACACGCAAGTGACTCTTGGTAATATAATGTAATTTGCAAACAAACAGTTAGTTATTCACCTGTAAATCAGACATGAGTTTAAAGACAATCTAATCGTAAGCCTACATTACAATAATCGAACTATGTTATTTTGGTTCACATAAAAAAGCTGTGTGCAAAGTTTTATAATAACACCGTTTTAAAGAACACCAAAACAAATAGTTCAAGCTATGTGCTTTTCAGGTTTGGACTTTCATAACATTGTTTTGGTAATCGTCTTGCGCTCTAGTGTGCTTTTTCTTTCTGAATGGATCAAATATTGTATTAAGATGTATTACAAATGAATATTGATCAAAGTTCGTGAAATTACAGGCTACTTTGTTTCTATTTTGTATTTAAGGATATAAATATAATTTGTTTTTCTGATAAATGGTTTGGCTTAAACTTTCACAATCAGATGGCCGACTAATGAATTTTTTCTTGCCCAGGTGGAAATCCGAGAAACGAAAGGATTAAGAAACTTTAGATTCTGATAACCAGCTTTGTACTTAATAAACTTTGTGAACTTTATTTGTACTTAATAAACTTTCCTTACAAGTCGCTGAAATGTTTAACTTGTAGAGATAAAACGAAAATAACAAATTATAAAGTAATTAAATTTAGTTCAGGCGGCGTAAAAATCTTGCAAAATTATAAGTTCTCTATCCAAAAGCTGAAATAACGTTTCTAAAATGTACACAGGTTAACATGTGGTTATGTATCCATCTTTTACGTTATTTTACTACAATATTCTGCTTACGTTTAAAAAAGAATGCCACCGAGAAAAATTATTATTACAAAGCTGTGGGAAAAAAAAACAACAACGAAAAAGTACTGCCTAAAAATTGTAAGGACAAACAATCGTAAAAAAAAATGTTCAAAGTCGTGAAAACAAGCAATTATAAAGACACTGTCCAAAAGCTTTGAAGATAAATAATTATTAAAGCACTTTTAAAAAATTGTACATGGAGAAAAATCCCGATCTATAGCGTTATAAGACCACAGACTTACTTACCACTGTGCCAGTGGGGGGCAAAGTTGTAAAGATATTAATAAATTAATAAAGATATGTGTTCTTTTAATTTTTCCATTCAATTGTAACTTGAGTTATTTGAATGCTATTAGTATGTTTTTCTGGTCATAATTTTCAAATAACGGTATCAGGAATAAAATTATTTAGTGAACATTTTAAATGATGAATAAAATTCTGTTATTAATGCTAATGAATTTTCATTTTTAGTGGAGCTTAAAGCACGTTCTTATTTGTGATCCAGAAAACAGCTTTTCCGTTCAGGTAAAGTAACAGCAAACGAAACATTAGAGCTCGAAGAAAGGTTAAATTACATCTCAGATATCAGTTTACCGTTATCCGTCAACGATATAAATTACATCTCAGATATCGGTTTACCGTTCTCCGTCAACGATATAAATTATATCTCAGATATCGGTTTACCGTTCTCCGTCAACGATATAAATTACATCTCAGATATCGGTTTACCGTTCTCCGTCAACGATATAAATTATATCTCAGATATCAGTTTACCGTTCTCCGTCAACGATATAAATTACATCTGAGATATCAGTTTACCGTTCTCCGTCACCGATATAAATTATATCTCAGATATCGGTTTACCGTTCTCCGTCAACGATATAAATTACATCTCAGATATCGGTTTACCGTTCTCCGTCAACGATATAAATTACATCTCAGATATCAGTTTACCGTTCTCCGTCAACGATATAAATTATATCTCAGATATCGGTTTACAGTTCTCCGTCAACGATATAAATTACATCTCAGATATCGGTTTACCGTTCTCCGTCAACGATATAAATTATATCTCAGATATCGGTTTACCGTTGTCCGTCAACGATATATGTTACATCTCAGATATCGGTTTACCGTTCTCCGTCAACGATATAAATTACATCTCAAATATCGGTTTACCGTTCTCCGTCAACGTTATAAATTAGATTATATAAAGTATAGGGCAGAAATATTTTTAGTTACTTTTATCTGAAACAGGTGAGAAGACAGATCTATGGAAGAGTGATGAGGATACAGATACATAGACAGACTCACTGAAAAGTAATAAACAGACATATTATTTGAAAAGACGGGAGCAGGCTGATAGGTAGATAGCACACCGGACAGTGAAGTGTATATGACCAGGTTTATTTAAAAGTGGCTTAGAATCCATGGAAATATTAATGGCGTTAGATAGGTAGTGAGATTAAGTGACATGTGATGTCAGACACGTATATATAGTGATATTCATTTAAACTGTGGTCAGCTGAAATTAGATACGTACACAGATTTATTGAGGGTGCTGAGAAATTCATTTAAGAGTACTGGGCAGATAGATAAGTAAATAGATTCATTGAAATATGGAGGCATAAAGATTTGCATACAGATCCATTGAAAAGTGGAGGCATAAAATAGTTGCATACGGATCCATTGAAAAGTGACAAACGGTTATATTTATTGAAACGTTTTAGTCAAGCTGATAGGTAGACAGATTCATTCACTGGTGAGTAAATAGGTAAGTAGAGAGGTTTTGTGAAAATGGTGGAAATACAAAAAGGTAAAGGCATTAATATAATAACTATTTGCAGGCGGATTGGTATACATATTGGTTGAAAACAATTAGGAGAGATTCAGTGAAAAGGGTATAAGGACAAATAAGAATCGAATCTCACTGAAACCTGGTGAGCAGGCAGTTAGATAGATAATTTGATTGAAACTAAAATACAGACAGACTGGAAATTCAATTCATTAAATATGGTTAGCAGTTCAATAGAAAGATAATCTCATTGAAAGAGTTTGCATAAAGACAGTTAAAGATATTCATTCATTTAAAAGTGGCGGGTATACATATAAATAGATAGATTAATTTAAAGTGATGAGAAAACAGATAGACAGATTTATCGAAGAGTGGTGGCAGATAGAGTGTTAAGTTAATTCATTGAAGGGTACTGAGAACACAAATGAATAAGCAGATGAATTTCAAAGGGTTGAGCTGACAGACTGGTTGACAAATTTATTGACCGTAAAGTAGGAATAAGCATTGAATTTTAGTGGGCAGAAAAGTAGATAAGTATTTACATTAAAGAGTTGTGAGCAGACAGATGTATTGCAAGGTAGTGAGCAGGTAGACAGATAAAGGGATTCACTTAAAAATGTGAATAGAAAATATTCATTGAATATTGATGGGCAGGCGTCTAGATAGACAGGCCGAATTAACATTGTTGGATAGACTATTAAGTGCGAATGTTCTTTAGAAAGTGAATGGAAGAAAGTTTGTGGACAGATTCATTGAAAGCTGGTGGACTGACAGAAATGTAGTAGATGCATTGAACAGTGATAGTTAGACAGATTTTTTTTTTTACTTAAAAGTGATTGGTAAAGAGAATGATTAGAACCCGATGGTCAGGCAGATAGTGAGACATTCATTGAACAGTTAAGGGCAGATAGGTGAAAGAAAGTTTTACTGAAAAGTGATTGGTAGATAGGTGAAAAGAAAGTTTTACTGAAAAGTGATTAGTAGATAGGTGAAAAGAAAGTTTTACTGAAAAGTGATTAGTAGATAGGTGAAAATAATCAATTGTTTGAAAAATAGATAAGCATAAATATAGATAGATAAGTTTTTGAATTGTAAGTACTTTGCAAGCAGATAAGGTATAAAGATTTATTACCACCTTCACCGAATGTGAAGGAAGGTTATGTTTTCACCCTGATTTATTACCTCCTCCACCGAATGTGAAGGAAGGTTATGTTTCACCCCGATTTATTACCTCCTCCACCGAATGTGAAGGAAGGTTATGTTTTCACCCCGATTTATTACCTCCTCCACCGAATGTGAAGGAAGGTTATGTTTCACCCCGATTTATTACCTACTCCACCGAATGTGAAGGAAGGTTATGTTTTCACCCCGATTTATTACTTCCTCCACGAAATGTGAAGAAAGGTTATGTTTTCACCCCGATTTATTACCTACTCCACCGAATGTGAAGGAAGGTTATGTTTCCATCCCTGTGTATGTGTTTGTCAACAAGATTTCTCAAAAACGGCTGAATAAATTTGAACGAAGGTTGATATACATTTGGACTATGATCCAACTTAGAAGTGATTAGTTTTTCGAGTGTCAAGGTGAAATACGAATGTCACACTAAGGTCATGAAAATCTAAAAAAATTCTTATCTGTTAACATGGGGACCGATTTTCCACACTACTTTTACTTTGCTCTATAACTCAATAAAAATGACTGGATTTTTGATGAAACTGAGAGGACATATGTAGAATCTTATTCCTCATTGTCTTACCAAAACTGTTCGTTGATAAAGACGGACATACGGACAGATTTTCGTATTTTCTGAGAGCCGAATATGATCAACGCTGTGTGGCAGAGGTATGCGCTCTACTGAGTGTCCCTCTAGTTAAAATATATGTACTACAGATTGTTAGATCTTTTGAAACCAATAGGCAAGTAGCTAAGTAACTACGTCTACTGAACATGCTTGGTAGAGATATAGGGAGACAGAGTCATTAAGAAAAAGGTTGATTGATGACTTTTTTGAAAATTAGAGCAGACAGATTTGTTAAAAACTGAGAATAAAATGTAAAGGTCAAATAGATTAATTGAAACGAGGTTGGAAATATATAGGTAGAATATTTCTGTGAAAAATGAATGGGAGAAAGAGAAAGTAAGAGAAATTCAGTGCAAAGTT